AATATTATCTAACAAATCAAAAATGTGTAAACCTTATGAGCCAGTGACACTCACAGGTACACTCCAGGGGATACATATGTATTCTTGTCAGCACTCTTTATAATAACAAAAAAAAAAATGGAAAACACACAAATATTCATAAAAAAATAGAATTGTTAAACAAATTATGGCAGAATTTTAAAATGTAATATTATACAACAGTGAAAAATAAATACAGTTTTTTTCAATGCCATGGATGAGTTTCAGAAACAAGATCAAAGAGATCAAGCAAGTAAAAACACAGTTTGACTCAATTTATTTAAAGTTGAAAAGTATGCATATCTAAAAATATAAAACTATAAAAAATCCCCTGAAATAGAAGGTAAAAGGATGGGACATGAAGAACTCAGGGGGACTTAATGTAGAGATGATGTCATCGAGGTGGCAGAATAGGAGGTCCTAGGCATTAATTTTTCCACAGAAATATCAACTAACAACTGTTCACACATAAAAACACCTTGGTGAAAACTTCCCCAAGATACAGGAATAGGTCTGAGTCACCTGCGTGTTCCCTGGAACTGAATAAAAATATGCATTGAAAGGATTCGGGAATTAGTCTTACTTTGACATAGTGCCCCTCCCATTCCCCTAAGTTGACATAGTGCCATGCAGAGAGGATTCCCCAGGGCCCAAACTTTCAACAGTGGGAAAAGAGAATTTGGGAAGTGGACATCCAGCTTTCCAAGCATTCTGGGACATGTCCCTGAAAGTCCAGTCCATTCTTAACTCATGGAGAATGGCGAACATAAGAGGATACTGTGTGGGGCCACCTGGGGCCAGGTAGAAATAAAGCAAGCGGGACCATATGCAAATTTGGGTGAAAGCTCAATGTATCTGTCAGCAGTGGTGTTCAATCAGATGTACCAGCTAACAACATAGTGGAACAGGTGGAAAGTGTTACCTGGCATGAATTCTTAGATTAGCCAGCCTCCAAGCCCGGCCTAGGTCCTACTCTGGGGCCTCACCCAGGGAGGGAGAAGACCCTGTGCAACAAATTTCAGCAGAAATCAGGCTCCAGGTCTGCCACACCTGGACATTTAATTGGTACTCCCATCACTAGACCTCACCCAGGAAGGGAGGCAAATCTCAATTGTGCACTTCTACTGAACATCACAGTTGGTTCTTTCATCACAACCCACTTAATCTCAGAGCCCTTCCTGCAGCTCTGTCCAACTGCTGAGATCAAATAACAGTACCTTCCCAGATCAGAGGTAATGGCAATGCTCATATAGAACCTTGCCCTGAAAACAGAGCTCAGCCAGTGATCTTTCCAGATAGCAGAGCCACACTAGCTTTCCCACCTAAATTCAGAGCAAGGGCAGCAGCCCTGCCATCTACAGAACCTGAAAGCAAGCTCTGCCTGCCCAGGGTAATTACCAGCTAGCCCACCCATAGGAGGAGACTAAGTGGTGAAGGTCCGTCCGTGACAAAGAACTCCCATAAAAGCCAGGAAAGGTGGCTATCTCTGCAAATGGGTAAACACCAACACAAGGACACAAGGATTACAAAATCAAGGTATCTCCAAAAGAAACTATCAAAGCTCCAACGACAGGCCCTAAAGAAAAAGAGACCTATGAAATAGCAGTCATTTTTCACATATATAGAAAAAGCAACCCCCAAATTCAGAGCAAACTACAAAAAACTTGAATAGGCAAGGCAATTATGAGTAGAAAGAACAAAGCTGGTGACATCACACTTCCTTAAACTATACTACAAAGTGATAGTAATTTAAACAGCATGGTACTGGTGAAATAATAGACACATCAGCCAATGGGGCAGAATAGAGAACACAGAAATGAACCCATGCATCTATAGTCAATTTGATTTTCAGCAAAGGTGCCAAGAATATACAATGGGAAAAGGACAATCTCTTCAATAAACAGCATTGGGAACAACAAATATCCACATGCAAATGAATAATAATTGGATCCTTATGTCACAGTATGTACAAAAGTCAACTCCAAATGGATTACTAACTGCTTAGACATAAAACTTGAAGCTGTAAAACTACTAGAAGAAAACATAGCAGAAAAACTACATGACTTTGGTTTGGGTGATGACTTTTTAGATTTTTTTCTTTTAGCCAGAACTGCCATTTTCTAGTAATTTGCCAGATTGAGGAGCACAAAGAAGAAGAGGAGAGGTACCTGCTGTATGTTCTCTAGGCCTTTCAGAGAGCATGGAGGTTCTCCTCTGGCCACATACATGTGAATCTACAAGAAAGGTGAACTATAATTTGTCAGCACGAAAAACAAACACCAGATATATTCTCCAGCAAACTGGCATTAACTGAGTAGCACCTAAGTGGACACATGGGTACTACAGTAATAGGGTATTGGGGAGGTGGGAGGGGGGAGGGGGTGGGTATATACATACATAATGAGTGAGATGTGCACCATCTGGGGGATGGTCATGATGGAGACTCAGACTTTTGGGGGGAGGGGGGGAAATGGGCATTTATTGAAACCTTAAAATCTGTACCCCCATAATATGCCAAAATAAAAAAAAATTTAAAAAAATAATAAAAAATAAATAGAATTTACTTATATAACTATTTTATTTATAAATATGGAGTATAAATATTTGGGTGATCATTACAGAGCTGTTCATCATGTCTAGCAGATGTTTCTAACCTATTCTTTTCTATCCAAACACTTTCTTAAAAAGAGAAATTTAAACATGGGTAGAACAGCTTGAACTTCAGAGTCAAAGTTCCTTGAGCTGTGTCTCCAACTGTCTCACCAAAGGAAACTCTGAGAAATTTCTAAACCTTGAATCCCTCATCCTTTAAATACAGCAATAATAAAAAAGCCACCTAACAGCAGGACTTGTGCAGAAAGGATGTAACATCAGAATATGAAATCATCTTGCACTGTGCCTATTGCCTACTAGACAGGCAATGTATATTAGATTGTGTCACTCATTTATTCATTCATTCATTTTTCATTCATTCAAGTATTAAAGAGTGAAAATTAAGTGAAAATGAAAATTAAGTGAACCAGCTAATGAACGTAACCTAAGTTAGAAAGGTAGACTACCTTCCTCCCTGTAGGTAATTTGAATGTTTTCATTCAGGTTTCTGGAGATAATGCTTCTATCTCATTAACAGGTTTTGTAGGAAAGTGAGATCAGAGACCAGGAAGAGAGATATGGTCCCTAGTCATTTTTGGCAAAACTAAAGCCACACCTTAAAACCAAGTTGAAGAAAACCAGCATGGAAGCATGGAAAAGCAGGTGCTTTGCAATTCTGCAAACCTGGACTTACTCCACAGCTCAGCCTTGAGCACATTTTGAAAAATCGCCAGGCTTCATTTCTTCATATACAAAATGGGAGCAATGCTTCTTTCATTGCATGCTTATGATAAGGAATGGAGTTATAATAATATACATACAATGCCCAGTAGAGTGCCTGACACACAGTAGGAGCACAGTAAGGGGTGATGGTCAGCAATATAGTTGTTTTCTCTAAACAGTGATATAGTTAGTATTACTTTGATAACTTATGAGCATTGTGTTATTTCTATGGCACATAAATCTTTTATATATTTTTAAATTATGCTTTAGAAACATAGCAGATTAAAGTGGAGTGAGTAAGGACTCATTACTGGCCAGATCTGACACAAAGACAGATGGCCTAGGTTTAAATCTTGATTCTACTAACTTTGTGACTTTGGGGATAATCCTTAAAATTCTGTGTTTCTTCATCAGTTAAGTAGAAACAAATTCTAATTGATATACTAAATATATAAAATGCTTAGAACTTTTATATATAGGTATATATGTATATATAGAGACAGTTCAATGGGTGCTTTACTAAATGCTGGTTATTATTAATATCACCAACATTATTATCATTATTTGCTTGCTTTTGAGACTTTCCTTTTCTGTGAAACTCCAAAAACTAATTCTAGGTATTGGTTTTATTAATATTTTAATCAAATTGAATTCATGTTCTTTGTTAGTTGGTAGACTCTCTTAACACCTTTGCCATAGAAGAAAATCTTAAAGCAACCACAAAAAAATAGAATTTCAGAAGGCTGACCAGTTAAAGCAAGCAAAGAACTCAAGCATCGTGGGTTCTGCCAGGACTTGATTCTTGATTCTTAGTTCCATCATGGGCAAATTTCTTCTTATTTTCAATGCTTCAATTTTCACATCAGTACCTAGAAATAATTTCTTTGCCTCATCGCTTATTTAGGAATCATAAAAGGAAATCTCTTTTCTCCCTTTATCTTGGTTTCAACAAGCTTACAGCGTGACTGTGTGTTCAGCACTTTGTGATAAGGGGCCAGGCTAAGTCAGGCTGTGGCTATCGACAGCCTACTTGGTAATAAAAGTAGAAGCACCCTGGTCACCTTAAATAATCCACTTCGTAAATAACTTCAGCAGGAGATTGTGCAGTTGAGCAAACTCTATGCGAACCGGAACATCACTTCAATGCAAATTGGGTTCTAAGATAGCCGCATTTATTTCCTAGGAACTTTTCTTTGAAGTACAACTATGCATTTATTTTTAAAAGTTGTCTTTTAAACAAAAACAAGAAAAACAAACTAAAGCACTCTTAAACCAGTTGTAACGAGCAACTCAGGATTGTGAAGTTGCCATGCAGACACCTGTACCTCTCACAGAGGTGACAGAGAACTCTAGTGGGTCCCACTTCTGCACCCCTGGAGCACAATGGGAGGTTCTATTGCCATGGCTATGAAGGCCAGAACTCAGCCCTCTACCCTGTGGGACCGAAGTTCTCAATTCTTCCATCGCACCTGGATTTTCCTAAGAGCCTTGCACAAAGACAAGTGGCCATGGTTGCTACTTCTAAACATCCGTTTCTAGTGGGCACTTTAACAACTTTGTTTTCCTTTCCCCATTTAATATATTTTTTCTTTTCTTTTTTGTTTTCAATGGTGTGGAGTTGAGATTTTTTTTTTCCCTCTTTTTCTCATACAATTTCTTCTCTGTAGATAACAAAGTCCAAGTCCCTAGCCGTTGTAATTATTAGCATATTCCTGGAGAAAATTGCAACAGTCTACATTAAAGGACTCCCTGCAGAAATTTACACAGTAGGTATCCAATTTCTCTTTAAATAAAAGGCACTCAGAACAGTGAGGGGTTTAAAACAAGAGAAGAAATGGGGAACAAACAGAGCTTTGAGGAACAGCAGGGAGATTTGCAGTGGTCAAGAGCAGATAGGCTGAATTATTTGGATAATTAGTCTTCGTTAGCAAATTGGAGAAAATTGCAATGCCACTGTTAAGATGTTATAAAGGGCTCACAGCCTGGCAGTATTAAGAATCAGGTCTGACCCAGTTCCAAAAGGTTTGGCTCTCCATTCTGAATATTCTGTTGTAGAAAATAGATTCTAAGCCTGGGAGCTCTCTTCCAAGTGTTTCCAAAACTTAGTGACATATGCATTTAGTAGAGGTGAGCCTGACATCATCTTGGCCCCCTCAGCGTAAGAGGAGTGTTTTTAAGGACCTCTCTGACTATAAGGAAACTTTCGAGATGAAAGCCGGGGACCAAAATAGAAAATAGCAGAGTTAATTTCAATATTCTTTTCCTGAAGAAGATAGAAAATATGAAAGCTAGGTTTACTTATTTTATGTTCTAGAAACCTCCTCCTATCCCCACCCCTGAGAATGTAACTGGCATCAATAAAAGGAACTTAAATCTAAATAAATTGGAGTCTATCAACACTTATGTGCACATATGAAAATAACATTCATTGGAAATCAAGCAGGTGGGAGTGGGCAGGAGGGTATGGGTAAATTCACACCTATCGGGTACAGTGCACACTATCTGGGAGATGGGCACACTTATAACTTTGACTCAAATGATACAAAGGCAATGTATGTAACCAAATGTTTGTATCCCTGTAATATTCTGAACTTAATAAATAAATAAATAAAGTAAAAATTTGAATAATAAAGATATTCAAATTCAAATATTTCATAAATGAACCAAAATTTGTACTTACTGAACAAAAAGATTACACCTCACAGTTAACAGTTGTTTTACTGCTTTAAATTTTAAAGAAGAATAAAAGTTTCAAACTGTTGAAAAGAAAAGAATGGGTTTAAAAAAAAGAGATAAATACATGGTTTAATTAAAAAAAAAGAAAGAAAAGAAAAACTGCAAGGGTCTTGAAGACAGCCGCATCCCTTGATATGCAGACAGGAAAGTCCATTTCTTATTTCGTGGATTTCTAAGTACCTGTGTAAAAAAGCCCCCTGGAAAGCACAATGGCATGCATTCATGGATGATCCTGTTAGAGCAGGAGACTAGGGGACAGAGTTGCCACTGGAGGCAGGGGCTGGCAGAGTGAGTGCAGGTGTTAAAATAAAGAACCCTTAGGCAGAAACTAACTAGGCTGCCAGGCCAGGAGCTGGATGCCAGGGCTGGCAGAGTGGGTGTCGGTGTTAACTTCTAGCTAAGGAGGACTGACAACCACAGACATGAACTGGTTTCAACCAGCCCATCAGCTGACTGTGAACTTTGTCTAATTACAATATCATCTGCATTCTGGTTTTAAAGGTTCTCTGCCTTTGAAATTGCCATCACAGTTCCCAAACCACTATATAAAGTATGAAAATTAGAAATTGATTCTAGAAATCACTACCCAAATTCTTGGTAAAAACCAACTCCTTAGCCCCTCAATTATTGAGACTTCATAAGACCACAAACCCCTCCTTTAGTCGCAGCTGCTCTTGTTGAACCTACCGCCCCTCTCTTTTGAAAGAATAGTACTTTCACTTTTGCTTCCAATAAAAGCTGCTTACTTTTGGCTTACTTGTGGTACATCCTGAAATTCTTTTCTCTGATGATCACCAAGAACCTGAAATTACCTTCACTCAGAGGATGGTGACAGTTCCAAAGAACGATTCCGATCTGATTAGAATACTACTACTTCTCCAGGATAGGAAATATATATGGTGGGCTGAGATGAACAGAATAATATTAATAGAAACAGAAAATTAATAAGGCTGATTCTAACAACATGGGTAGTTTGAGTTTTCTGAGGAGCAAATTAATTTTTTCCAAGGGGATTAAAAAGCTGAAAACATTGCAATGGCAATGCCAGACATACCATTTTTGTGTATGTATCTGTGTACTTGTATTTTATTTTATTTTATTTTTAGGTTTGACTCTATTTTTTTGTTTTTTTAGACAAGAGTGTAGCTCTGTTGCCCAGGCTAGAGTGCCGTGGCATCAGCCTAGCTCACAGCAACCTCAAACTCCTGGGCTCAAGCGATCCACACCTGGCTATTTATTTTATTTTATTTTTTATTTTTAGTGGAGACAGGGTCTTGCTCTTGCTCAAGCTAGTCCTGAACTCCTGATCTCAAGCAATCCTCCCACCTCGGCCTCCCAGAGTGCTAGGATTATAGGTGTGAGCCACCGTGCCCAGCCTATGTACTATACACATGTATACTGGCCTTGGAGAGGCGGGGCCATGAACTCCTACCCCTGAAAGTTATCCTCAGAGCTGTCTCGGGGTGTGCTGCTGAAAATTGCTACCACTGCTTAATTCTAAGAAGAAAAATAATTTAATACATGTGAATCAGGTAAAAAGATATTCAGCATGTTCTTTCAATGTTATGCTGAAGCATTGTTTAACAGAGCCATTCAAGGATCATTTATTATAGGGGAATGTATTATAGTTGGCTTAACTCACTGTGTATTATTGAGTAAAAACTTCATAAAATATGTGTTAACTTATAGAGTTTGGTCCAGTAGAAGTGCAAACAGTTTCTGTCAGGTAGAAAAGACGGCCCCTATGGGAAGCTACCTGTGGACACCAGCTGAGTTTGCTTTTAGCCTATAATTCTTGTTCTAATGTTTCAAAATGCCCGTAAAAACTCAACTCCTCAAAATGCTCTTTGAACCAGCCTTACCATCCTACTGGTTTCCGCATTAATCAATGAATTGACTAAAATTTTTGATACATGTCTATACATTTGTATTTGTACGGGAGTCAAACATTTAAGTATGTAAGTTTTTGGTGATTATACTTCGATTTTAAAAAGCCACTGCTAAGCCCCAAACCATTCACTGGAAGGTGAAGATAAACAGGTGAGTTCTTGAATTTATAAGTATTATGGTTAAAAATACCTTGTGGTGATCTTATTGGATGGACTTCTTTTCTCCTCTTAGGAAGAAAAAAATTACCCTTTAATGAATCCTTTTTCTGTCTTATCCATGAAAGGTAATGCCATGTCCCTGACCCAGTAACTTGTCTCAGTCAAAGATGCCAACCAAATTTGAAGTAAATAACATCTGGCATCATTAAAGGGAGAGATGGAGGGCTTGATCTTGGAAAAGCAATCTAAGAATGTAAAACTGTCTGAATCTTAGGACACGGCCACATTCTAAAAATATAAAATAATCACAGTCATCAAAGTTTAATTGGAAAGAAAAAGGTACGTTGGTCAATCATCCTAATTGGGAATGTTATTTTGTGTATGCCCCCAGCCCCCAGGTTTCTTTTAGATACATCAAAGGACACTAGAAGTAAAATGTACTGATCAGGAAAATGTCGAAGAGAGCACACAGATGATGAGCTATTCTTAGAGTCTCTTTTCTGAGGGCAGCAGCTCATTTTAATGTCTAGGAATATTAAGGTAAATGTAATAATCACTTGAGAGAAAGGACACCCAAGCATGGTTGGCATGTGATTTTTCTGGTTGTCAAAATCTGGCAACATCATGAAGCACTTTCGTCTCCAACAAAATGACACAGTAGAGAAAACTAAATATGCAAACTCACTAATGAATATTTTTTTCTACGTGGGATTCACCAAAAATTCTTCATTTGTGAACCCCCAAAATGTTCTTCTATGAGATAATAGTTCGCTGTCAGTAGGAAGAAAACAGTAATGATTTAGATTTGAGCTATTAGTACAATGTGGTGAACTGAACCACTTCTATTAATAGATCTAGGGAAGCCAGTGGCTATTGCCTCTGAAGCTCCATCAGAATTATTTATGGAACTTAAAAACAAAAGCTCTCATTACTTGAGTCTTACCTTGTACATACAGCATCAAGTCTTCCTGGGTAGGGTCCAGACTTCTTTCTCTTTCTACTAACCTTTTAAATGATCACTTGGGTTTGCATTAATATTCACTGAAGTTTATTTTTTAAAATGAACGTATAGTTCATATACTTGGGAAACACATTTATCCTACCATTTATCAATATGTCCTTTATCATATACCCTCTCCTTCAATAGGGAAATATGGAAGCAACATGTCTTTAAAGCAGAGAAATGCCCACATGACACATACAGAGGTAAGGGGTTCCCTTTACATTTTGCAAAGATAATGGGTTCCTTGGTTAGGTGACCGGATTAAACACTGCCACTGACCTCTGAGTAATTGCACAACGGAATCATTCAGGAAGAGAGCTTGAGATCCCCACCGAAACCATATCATCCACAAGGGCTTCCTCACTTCTGTCTTATCAGTTTTGTAATAGAGGGAATAGCCTGAAAAACAATGGCAAAAAGATGATTTCTGTCTCTTTAAAACTTCCCCCTACTCTTTTTGGGAAGTGAAGCCTGCATCCCTGCCTCAGGCAGGTGGTCAGGAGGGACCTGGGGCATGTCTTTTGTTCTCAGCCATCCCAAGTCAGGGGCTGGCCTGCCAGGTGGGCAGAGCTTGTCCTGGGCAGAGATGGGGTGATTAGAATCATTAACACAGCAGCCTAGAACTGAGGGCTCTCCCTTTAAAAAATCCATTTCTGTGTATGTTCAGATAATTTGGATTTTGAGAAGAGAAAGTCTAATATTTTGCCTCCTTTGCTGGAAAAGTAATACACTTCTCTTTCCTTCTCCGCAAACCTCTTGTTCTAGTTCTGATGAGGACTCAAGGGCAAGTGCTGAGCTTTTGGTCACAGTGTCTAGAAGCATACCTGGCACGTGAAAAGTGGCTAATTAAATAAATGGACAAGTGAATAAATAAGTGATTGATTCCAATGACCTATATATCCTCTGCTAATATGAATGCATTGTTATCTTTTCATTCACTTAACTGTCTTCTTTTCCATGGTTCAGACCAGCATTTCTCACTCAGTGAGGAAGAGAAAGGCTAATACTTCTCTATGAAATGAAATACTATATTCTCCAACTTCTCCCTCAATTTGCCCCGCACCCCAAAGTCCACCCACTTTCACATCTGTTGATGTTGTTGTTCCCAACCTTCTATGCATCCTGTAGAGGCAAGAAGAAGAAATCTGGATGGGAATTAAGAGTTGACTCTAAATAGGAAAACAAAAAATAAAGGAAGTTCCCACAGTGTTGTACCTTCTAAAGTCCAAGTGAGCAAGAAAAACACAGGGCTCATAATTAACGACCAGAAAGCTTTACTCTAGTGAAATGAAGGGAGACTTTGAGATTCTAGACTTCATTAACAGTTAAAAGAGAAAAGAATCCCGATGGCCAGCAGGTTAGAAGTTAATTAGAAGAAGTGCTCGGGGACTTACTGTCTGACAGAGGCGCTTAAGAGGTGGTTTTGGGCTCTTTATTGCCACTATAAAAGTCTCCATGTCTCCAAGCTCCCCGGAAACATAGCAAATTCCCTGGGCTGTTTAGAACAGGCGAGTCCTGTGCCTCCAACACTCAGGGGTCCTCTGCCCTGCGGCTAATGGGTGCTCTGGGACTTTTTGTCCATTTGCTCTCAAACCAAACTTTATCTCGAATTAAATTGATATAATTGGCTGGAGCACCAAAAAAAAAAAAAAAAAAAAAAAAGTTAAAATTCAATTTAGATGCATAGGGAGATAACAATGAACAAAGGGAGATGGACCAGAGGAGAGCAAAGGTGAGCATTCCATCTGGTCAGTAAACAGTCTTTAGAGGATTAGAGAGCTTCTACCTTCTTGGTGACCTGGTCATTCCATAGGCTGAAAACTACAATTACCATTGGCTTCCTTCTTGACAAACTTTTTCTGATATTCTGCAACAGACTATGAAAACAGATGTTTCATTTGAGATTCTCCTGTGAAAACATCAGGTATCAATAGTGAGTTGTAAGATGGACCCCACTGTGGAATTGGAACACTGCAGGTGGCAGAGAATAGTTCAGTGACCCCCGAAACCCTTACCCACATTGGGTGTAGAAAGGGTCCTCATAAGAAGATAATGAGGAAGAGGGTATTTGGAGATAGCTTGTGGTGTATTGTTGTCTATTTACCCCCTAGGTGGAAGAAAGAAATATTCTTTCTCTCACTTCAAATCCCCACACAAAGCCTTCAACTGAGACCTCTGCAAAGCTTGATAAGTCTTGGTAGTCAGTGGTACCTGCTGGCTACCTAGAAAATGTCAAGGTCCTGCCTTTCTTCCCCCCTCCATTTTAGCTCTAGTGGAACACAGCAGTTAGTAGGTGTGAAGTATGAGAGGAGGTGAGACAGAAGGTTTTGTCTTCACTTTCTTCCCTGGCTATAGGCTTTCTGCCTGAAATAGGCCCTAGAGAGGAGAAAAAGGAAAAACCCTACCTTTGAATGGATAGAATTTCTAACTACCCTATGGGAGTGGACCATCTAATTTCTAAAACAAAATATGGATGTCAGACTTTGCATTTTCTGAGCAAACAAGCTCAGAGAAATCATGGAATTACATATGCTTTTTCACTGGGGACTGCCTTCTTGACTGAATTTACATGGACATTGAAGGGCAAATTAAATTTACTTGGTGATTCTATCCTATAAGTAAGGCTTATTCAATTCATATTTCTAAACTTTTGTTATGCCCAAGAACACGAGTTGTCTTGTATTAGGGAGGAACATGAATTGTCTTGTATTAGGAGTTGTCTTGTATTGGGGAAAAGTGGAGAAATGAGGCAGAAAGATAAATTCAAGATAGGTCCAGGTCTAATACAATATAATTTATACAAGTATGTTCAGCCTATGCCCTGGATTTGTGGACAGTTCTATTATTAAAGTAACCTGAGTCCCCTAGAATTATAATGATGATGAAAACTCAAGTTTCAGTGGATATAGTTCCCACCCACCACATAACGTCAAACTTCAGATTCCCACAAAATCCTTCTCACCCTGAAGTTCTGAGAACTCCGTCTTTATGCTCTGTGCTCCTAGGTTGACAATGGTTGCTCAGGAAGCTGTTTGAGATCAACTTTTTGCAGATGCCATTGCCATTGTCCCCCAAAGTGCCTTGAGACCCCCGTACCTTGGAATCTTTGAGTATTTGAGTATGGCTGGAGATAAGGTGTGTGTGGAGAAGGAGAGGTCAAGGTGGGTTTTGTAGATTTCAGGTTTGACTGAGGATAGATACTCTTATGCTTAAAGTCCTCCAAAATTAAGGATTGTTTCTCCAAAGCAAAGAATAGTAAATCTGGAACTTCCCCCTTTTAGGGTAGAAGTGACCTTTGAGGTCATCTACTCCAATCCCCTTTTTTCACCTTTTTCATTAGGAAATTGAAATACAGTGGATGAAATGGCCAATTCAAGGTCCCCTAACTCATTAGTGGAAGGAGAGGAATAGGATTCTTACCTTGTTGACAAGCAACTTGGTGGTGTCATGTCCATGACATTACATTTCCTCTCAAATTTAGAAAACACCAGAAGATAAATTATTGGTCGAAACATGGTTTTCTCCTAGAGTAGATTAGAATTTTAAAATACCAGAGAAACAAGTCCTTTCAAAGTTAATAAATAGAGGACATATAAATTAGATAAGAAGGGAAATAAATGCAAATGCATAAATTTGCCTAGATAAGGCAGTTCTAGTACAGCATCCACCATGGAGATTTACACTGATCCAGGAAGTGGCTTTATTAAAGACAAGATTAATCCAGAAACAAAAATATGACAATTATACAAAAAATTAAAATGAATTTACTGTACTCTAAAATCCCTTTGTGTGACAGCATTCTAAGAATTATAGCTATTTTGTGGTTGATTGGTTTACAGAGCTATAAAATGTCTTAAAACCCCATATCCTTCTAGAATAACCTATCAAACCACAGCAGGATTAGCAAGAATTTCTAGTAGCAGGAATATTCTCCACTACCCACCCACTTCCAAATGTCCACATCCTAACAGCAGAGATGTGTCACTATGTACCTTATAAGGAGAAATGGACTTTAGAGATGTGATTAAGCTTAAAGATTTGAAATAGGGAGAGTATCTTGGACTATCAAGGTGGGCCCAATTTCATCAAGAGTCCTGAAAAGGGGAGAACCTTTTCCACTGATATCAGAGTTAGAGGAAGGAGTGACTGCAGACATATGGTTAAGGAGGAGGAGACCCACGTCCATCTAGAACTTGGAAAAGACAAGGAAACTTGTTCTCCCTTAAGGCGTTCTGAAAGGAATACAACCCTGCCTATACCTTGATTTCAACCCAGTGAAAACCAGGACTTCTGACCTTCAGAACAGTATGATAATATATTTGTGTACTTTTAAGCCACTAGGATTGTGGTCACTTGTTGCAACAAAAACAGAAAACCAATACAGAACCTAAGAGATAATTTGTCAACTCATAGTACATATCAGAGAGAGTTTAAACCAGAGTGGAAGCAAATATCATACCAACAGGTGCTTGTCGGGCATGAATTCCATTACAAGGAATTTAGAACCTCGAATCGCAGACTGGAGGCAGAAAACAGACCTTAGGTTTCTGTTAGGCAGGGACCTAGAACTGGGATCCCTACATGAAGCTGGAAGTATCACCCTCAGCAAAAAGGCAGGCGTAAAACAAAACAAAACAAAACAAAACAAAACCTCCCATCATTAAAAGGAGAAACAATAAAAAAAATCTCCCTTAGCCTTGGCTTATGTGGAAAATAACTGTAAAAACAGAAACCACCTCTCCTGATAATTCTTAATTATAGGACAATATTAGTTTTGGAGGTATCTGAGAATAGAAAACAAAGTGCAGACTTGTAGGATTAGTGAACAACAGGGAAGCTGTCTAGTTCAGTCTTTTCATGCCGAGGCATCCTCTATGCAGCAACCCTACTCATGAGCTTCCATTTCCTTTTTAATCCCCAACATGTAACCCCAACTGTCATCCAAAGTGGTGCATTTGAAAATTAATAGATCATTGATTGGATGTTCTCTAAGTTCTGAGATTTCCTTCCCTATAATTTCTACCTAACGGTTCTAATTTTGCTTTCTGTAACCAAGGCCACTGATCATAAACCCTCTTCCACAATCAACTCTAACTGTTCGGAGTCTATGATTGTGTCACCTCTAGGAAAATATCCGATTCCTTGGCCACATCTCTCGGTTTATAGAAAAAGGAGGTTCAATGCAGAAAACTTGTGAACAGCCTTTAAAAAGCAAATAATAGAGAGAACAGGGTTTCATGTATTAAATGCTACTTTTAATTCTTTGCCAAAATAATTGGAAATGCCATTTTTTAATGTAATAATGGGCCATATTTCCAAAGATTTAAAAATCCTCAAATCCAGTGCTTCTTTTCTCTTTCTGTCTAGAAAATCCAGCAGGGTTTGGTTCATGAGAATGAAACAAGTGATCTGGGAGGACAAGCAGACTTATTCAGGAACCAGGGGCATTTTCATTTTTTTTTTCTGTTATTTATTTTCTTTACCCCAGGTTTCTAAAAACCAGAAGCAGATGGACTAATCCAAGCTCCTCGGAACAGACGGCTTAGCACGCTCCCCACACTGAAAACGGGGCTCCCCCACAGAGCTCAGCATCCACAGAAGGATTTGCCCAGACTCGGCGTCAGAATGAGCACTCATGAACTTCCCCTGGCCCCATTATCAACAACGATGAGAAAGGTGTATCCTTACCTGACCCTAGAGCACACCAGCCACCTGACCGGCAGACACCAGATACCATTGTAAGCAACAAAGTCCACAGACCTCCGCAAAAGTGAACGGAAGAGGCAATAAATGGGTGGCCTTGACAAACGAATGCCTTGACCCAGGGCTTTGGGAGAAAATTAGGAATAAAGGAAAATGTTGGATGGAAGTGTTGTATGCCACAGGATAAAACGTCTTCCTCTTAAGTATCCTTGTCCCCGCTGCCTCCTGCTTCACGTTGCAACCTGTGCTTGGTTCCCGCTCTGTCCCTCCTTTGCCATCAAAACCCATGTAGAATAAATCTCATATTACACAAGGGATAATGGCTCATGAATGAAATCCTGCTACTGCCCCCAGCATGGCAACATTTTTCACAGAAGAAATTTGGTGAAACATAGAAATCAGTTTGCTGACGGGTTTTGGGACATGGGTACCAAAGGGGTTTAAAGCTTCTGTTATCACTCCATCTAGTTCGCAATTTATTGTTTCTTTCAATAGAGTTGATGTCACTGTCCACTCATCTTTATAACATAAAATGAAACATGGAGAAATCAATGGTATATCTAAAAAACGGACAGATAAAGCAAAAATATACAATTTTGTTTTAGACTCTGGGTTTCCAGGTCAAAGTCTGGACAAATATTTCCTGGCTGTACCAACCAGGGATGTATGTTCTGTTGTAACAGAATTCAAACATAAAACAAAAACAAAAAGTAGCATAAACAAACTAGGGCTTTCATTTTTTCCCACAGTAGCAGGAAGCTATTAACTAGCAACCATAACTATTTGGTCTGAGGTCTCTGAAATTCTATGAACATTTTCCTTGTGGTTTTCCCAATGGCTGAAAATGGCAGCTCTGGACCTGTCCATGTTCCCAGAAGGAAGAAAGGAAGGTTAAGATCAGAGGGACACTCCAGCTGCACCTACCCCTGCCAAACTTCCTTGGAAGTTACTTCTAATGATTTCTACTTATATGTCTGAGCCAAAACTATGTCCCTTGGCCATGTCTAGCTTCTATAGGGGCTGACAAATTAATTTTTTAAAACGGGGCTCATTAGTCATTCCCCTCCCCTAAATTGTGGACATGGCATTAAAGATAAGGGGGAAATACATAGTAGCAGCTGAAAGTCCCTGTCTTACTGACTTTAAGGACACTTGATACATTCTAATTCAGAAACGATAATAAAATCTTAATTAATCTGATTGCCTTAATGAGAGCTATTTGTGGACAATATTGGGAACTACTAGGGAGCTTCTGATAATAAAAAAAAAATTGTTTTCAAGGATTGAAATAGACAAACAAACTGTATAATTTTCAGATTAAACCTTAAAGTGAAGACTGTTTCAACCCAGTGTCTCACACAGGCTAAAGTACAGCACTGCTTTTATGCCCCGAGGACTGGTGATCAGACTGTCACTTTACCCTCTTCCTTAGAGTAATGAACATTTCAGAATAAAAAATAAAATGTTAAGCTATTCTTAAGATCATGTACTATCTGTGTTTACGTAATACTTTCAACATGTCATTAATCCATTCATATGGTATGATGCGTTTTTAATGCTGTTGATATACGACAGAGAGACTCATATACCTACAAGTCACACTCATAATGGATTGTGCGGACCGTATTTCCTTTGCACACGCAGGATAAGTGGAGTCTACTGCACACTTAATCTATTAGAGGGACGATCTGGACATAGGAAAAAATGTAGCAGGAGCCAGCACTGGTGGTGAGATAGAGCCGTTCACTGTGAAAGTAGTGATTCATGTAACACGAGCCAAGCTTTGATAAAAGTTATGTCATTTGTAAATCTATAATACCATGTTTTTGGTTTTCTTTTCTCCCCAGGAGCAAGATTAAACACCTGCTTAACAGGAAAAGGAAAATAGGAAAAAGGATTATTTTCTCATACAAAATTAAGCTGTACTCCCTCTGTTAAAACAGAAGAAGAAGAAGAAGAAGAGGAGGAGTGGGGGGAGGAGGGGGAAGAAGAAGAAAAGGTTTGCTGTGTTGAGAGATATGTATTTTCAGGAAGCTGCTGGGGCAGTTAGTTATCTACTACAACTCTAGTAGATGGAAAGACTTGGACTTGGAAGAAACTATTTCCCCACATCTGGGTCCAGATCCCATCCTTCATCATCTGAAATTGGCAAAACCTGGGCCAAAAACTGGCTACTCTTTCATGAGCATTCTGCTGAAACCTGAGGTGCCTGATTTTGGAGTTATTGGAGAGGACAGAAAAGCTGAACCTTTCCCTCCTGTAGGGAGAAGTGGACCTTGGACCACAGAACTTGATGGACAGGTGTTTGGAAGCAGGTGCTATGGACACCTAGAAGAGAGTCCAAGCTGGGAGACGAGGATGTTTTCTTAGTAGAATGAAAGTTATTTATCAAGATGTATTCCTGGGAAAAATGGGTAGGACAGTGGGGAAGGGAGACCCAGAAGAGCAGTAGACAAAGTGAAGGAGAGACATCAAATAAAGCCCCACATTGAGCATGGCTCAATCCTGCAGGTGAGCCCTGGAGAAGGAGGACTTCACATGTCACAGTTGTCCTGATCAGAGGACAACTGGAGAGAGGCACTGGAGTTACTGATGAAGGACTGCTCTTGGAGAACATAAAGTTTCAGGCAATTTGGCTCCATAGATATGCAAATAAAGTAGGTTTTGACAGTTGAGAGCTTCTCTCCAACAAAAAGTTGCAGGTACCTGCTATCTTCTGGGAGTCAAAGCACAGCACACCAACAATCCACCTGGACAAACATGGTGAAGGGACATGAGGGGTAATGGTCAGAGTGTCCTCAAAATGATGTTTTCTGTTGCAGATACCCTCACAGGATACCCTTTTCCCAAAGTCTGAGGCAGGAAAGGCTCCTTTCCTTTGTGTTTGTTGGGTAAAGTGTTAAGTTCTCTGATTTCTACACTCTGCTGCTTGGTGAAAAATGACCCATCTTCTAAATTAAAGAACTAGGTATTAATATATTTTAATTTATTCTGAAAATCTTAGTAGGGACAGAAAGAAGGACAAGGAGTTCAGGATCTCATTGAAGTACCTGAAGAGTCCACCCAGGAAAATGACCATGGATTCCTAAGTACAGTCACCACATTTCCTGTAATTGAAGTGACAGCTGTTGAGAGGGAGGGCCAGCAGCTGTCTTAATGTCTTGATTTCTGTGCCTGGTCTATCATTAGCAAGGAAGAAAAAAAAAAGTTGATATAGCCTATTGTCATCAAATGCATTGCTGAGATCAGATTTATGTTTATTTCAATCGCTCAGGTTTTATGTTTACTTTTTTTTTTGTAAAAAAAAAAATGCCTTTCAAACTCTTCCTCTCCTTCATCATATTTTTTCTTCACCAAAAACAAACATAGTATAGTGACACTGCCTAGGCAGCAGTTTCTTGAGTCAGATTGGAAGGGCTAAGTATGAATGGATGAGAATAAAACCAAAATTGAGTTGGGGGATCTTCTGTTGAAACAGTGATCTTGTCTCTCCTACTTTTCAAAGCAGCCTCTCCCCTTGTGCCACCTGCACCCGAGGGTCAAAAGTCCTGCAGCTCGGCAGGGAGAAAGAGCAGTCAGAACTGTCGTATCTGCATTGCTTGCTTATCCCAGGAAGCCTGTACCCACGAACCCATGTCCTGGTGCACCAGGAGTATTTAGTATGCTGTAATATCAGCATCAAGAGTGTCTAGGGCATGATTCTGCAGAAGCTATGATTCTTTCGATGCTTCTTCCCCAAGATTCAATTTGTGACCTGAAATTTGTAGCAGAGCCCTTAAGGCAACTATGTCAGAAAAACCAGGAACCACCTACTGCTACTCACACTTAACAGTTGTGGTTAATTTATCACAGTAACCCATGATATGAAAGGGAGAGCAGAACCCCCTAATGGGGTACGACACATAAATACTTTATGATGCTTAACATGAGGATTATCCTCATAAGAATATATTACAAACAGTAATAGCAGTAAGACATTTCCAGGCCCTTCCAACCCATCCAGTAAAGCAGGTGTTAAAATAGTTACCAATTGATAAGGTCATTTCAAACCTATAAATAAAACTTTTTAAAAGTTCAACTTGTTGAACTTTGTGTGCCCATCTTTGGCTTCTATTTATCATGGAAGGTAAACAATGGTTCAACTATGTTTATATTAATAGCATTTTACCTGCACATGATTTACTTAGGTAAGATTGAGCTTCTCTTTTTGATTAGATAGCTCCTCCCATATTTTGACCTTGATAAGTAGGACAGCTCTCAATATAGTGTTGAGCTAATTAAAAATGTACTGAATACAAATAGGCAAAGCACAGAGGATTTTTAGGGCAGATTTTAGAGTAGTGATTTTTTAAATACTACACTATGTGATACCACAATGGTGATATATGTCTAAGCCCATAGAACATACAACACCAAGAGTGAACCCTAATGGAAACTATGGACTTTGAGTGTCAAATGCCACGTTATGTTGGGGAACGTTGATAACAGGGGAGACTGTGCCTGAGTGGAGGGAGGGCTGCATGGGAAATCTCTGTACCTTTCATTTAATTCTTCTGTGAACCTACAAATGCTTTAAAAAATAAAGTTGAATTTAAAAAATTATAAGTAATTTATAAATACAAACAAGCCTAATTATCTTTAGCATCCACTCTTTTATGAGATGAGGGCAAGAGAACAAATCTCAGGGACACCCAGAGGCCCTTGCGGAAGTGATACTTTAGATATAAAAGGTGGCTTAATGGTTTTCTTACTCTGAACTATGCACCCAAATTTGGAAGAAAAATATAAAAGAAGAGTTGTCAAAAGACCACCATCATTACATTGAGAAATGGCCATAAGTTATAGATACCTAAAGATAAGAAATGATTGTTTTGATGAATGTATTAATCAGAAAGATAATATTTTAATATAGACCAAAATAGAAGAAATTACCCTATCAATTATAAGGAACTTCAGCTCTTTTGGAAATGAGGAATTTAAAAAAAATGATTCACTCATTTTGGTAATGAGTTTGGAAGTTTCTTATGAATTTAATCACACACTTATCTTAGGATCCAGCATCCCACTCCTGGATGAGTTCTACCAAAAGATTTGCATATAAATATCCATAGCAGCTTTATTCAAAATATTTCTAAAACATAAACAACCTAAATGACCATTAATAATTTTCAGTATTCCTTTACAATATAATATATATTTAGGGACAAAGTTAAAGTCTTTAATTTTAGCTTAAAATCAGAGAATGGCTCTGCCACATTGAATTGACCATCTTTATTGGAGCTTTACAAAGAGCAAATTTGTTTTATACAGACCACGATATTTCATCAGAGAGGTGGTATTTAAATTTTTACTCAGTGCAGGTAGAAGAAACAATCCCAGATGATTTGCAGCATTGTCTGAAGTTCACAAAAACCACTCTTTAAGAAGACATTAATGATTATAATTCAATTAGTTAAATATATATATGTACATTCTCATAAGCCTGAATAGTGTATCGAAACAATGATAATCTATGTGACTTCAAAACAGCCTTGGAAATTTAGAAGTGCAAAATAAAATTACTTTCCATAAAAAATACCCAATCTTATGTAAAATATTAAATGTATTCCTTATTGTGATAAAATTAGAAAATACATTGCTAAATTTTAAACCCACCCAATTTATCAAGAGATTTACCTTGCTTTATAGTGTATTACATAAACTATTACTGTATAATATCTGCATTTATTTATCATGTACCAAAAGTGTATTTGAAGCTGTCATTGGTGAGTTTTAGGATCATTTGTTGCTAGCTGATAATCATTTGCATTTCTTTCTTTCTTATCTAGTAATCTTCCATTGCCAGGCACAGCTTGACTTTTCCTGAGCTGGTAGGGAAGTTTTCCTTGAAAGGTTAGCACACAAATCTTTAACAGTTCAATTTCTTCCTTCTCTTCTTTACATCTAAAATACTGTATTCTCATTTGTTTAATGTCCTCCAGAGTTAGACAAAGGTATACCAGAGCTATGCTCAGACAATACAAATATATAAATGTAAATTATACATCAAAAATATCAAAGTCTTGGGCAGGTTGGGAAAGTTTTGTCATACCCTTTGTGTATAAGGAACCAGCCCTTTTCCTTGGGTTTCAGCCCCAGGTAGGGATCTGTGTCTGGGTACCAAGTTACTAAGGTAGAGGTTTCTGAGTTTATTCTCAGAAGAGGGTATCACTCTTGACATCTTTCAAGGGAAAAAAAATCAAGAAAAGGACTGATTATCCAGGTGCCCTTCAATTTCTTAAGATGGTGGTCATTAATGAGAGGTCCTCAGACTCCGGATAAACCCTGCCAATCCCACCTGCGTTCCAAATCCGTCACCCACAGCCGGGTACACAAGCCAAGCCAGGCCCTCCGCCCTCCCAGCCATGACACGCCGGTTCAGTTTTTTAAAAATATTTGCATAATGCTTTCTCCCTTTTAAATGGGAGATGTGTGTGTGTGTGTGTGTGTGTGTTACAGTGCGGAAATAGGACAGATCTTCATCATCAACTAATGTCTACACATGCCCCCTTAAAAATAAAATGTGGCTACAAAGGGAGAGAGGGGCTATGATTATAAACAGACCGTTCATTGTAATTCTCTCCTCTCTGGACAGAGTGCAGAGGGGCTCTTCTCGCTCACAGACACACAGAGAAAACTGACAGCATCAGAAGACGCTGCCTACACAAAAATGGAAATAAAAGGGGTCACATGCAAGCGATCCCCTCATAGACAAGCAAACTTGGGACGAGCAACTGGGGGATCTTTGGGAGCCGCCTCACTGCCCCGCCCCAGCAGGAAAAGGATGGATGAAAGTGAGGCGGGAGCGCTTCTCTGGACAAAGAGGTGGAGACTGGCCCGTGGTCTCCTCCTCTAACATTTTTCTCCCTTGACAACCGTGGTGAAAAGCGAGAGAAGGCTGGCGTCGAAGGAAATTCCGCGAAATCCTGCAGACGTCTATCACAGAAATCAACCTCTCAGCGCTTAACGCTGGTCGGGGAGACACCAGGTGGCCGTTCGTTGATGACAGAAATCATTCGGATCCGTCGGGAGCCAGACATGAACCAGAGACCCACACACGGTGGTGAAGCAGAGATAGCCAGGAGCAGACGCACGCGGCAGGATTCCGCCAAACGGCAGGTGGCAGCCGGTCCCGAGAGCGAGCTTGGCGTGTCGTCGGTGACGCGGAGAACCGAGTCCTCCTCGCGGGCGGAATACTGTTGACACAAGTCAATACCGGAAGCAGAGCCTTAGGACAACTTTGGTCGCAGAGTAAGGTCCCCCCACTCCCGCCTCAAAAAAAAAAAAATAAATAAATAAATAAAATAGTACAAGACACTGCTTGTGCTCTTCAGAACAGCCAGGCTCCCAGAAGGAAGCTGGAAAGCTGCACCTATCATTGAAATTGTCTTTATAAATGAAAAAATGGGAACTTCCGGTTGTTCACGGCGTCTCCAGGAAGCGGGGCCTTTAGGGTGCGCCGCCATTCCGGTTCCGGGTACAACCAACGCGGACGGCTTAGTAGTTATTTGCAGCCGCTGTTCTCCTCCAGGGTTCTATAATTATTGACCAATAATTTCTATAATTATAGATTAATCAATAATTTCCATAATTATTGATCTCAGAATGCAAGAGTTTCGGAAACAGGAATCTCTTCCGGCCCAGCTGTAGAACAGGCTCTTTGTCAACAAGGTTACGCTTGCTAAAGACAACATGTCAGTTTCTCCTTTTTTTCCCCGATGGCTTTATTTTAGTATTTCCATTGTCCCGTTATCAGCACTTGTAGAATGTATTTAACAAAATGTCCCTAAAACTAGTAATAAAATGGTTATGTCTATAAATTTTACCACAAATCAAGGGAAGTATCTACTTAAAATAAAATAAAATAAAAATAAAATAAAAATAAAATAAAATAAAATGGTGGGGGCAGAGGAACATGCTTCTCTTTCTCCTTCTCCTTTCTCTACTTGCTCCCTGCCTTCCAAAGTGCTCTTGGGGAGTCCACTTGCTCAAGGCCTCTTGGGCATGGCTCCTGGTCATGATCCTCAATTTTGGCTCAGAATAAATCTCTTTAAATTAAAAAAAAAACAAAAAACAAAGCGCTCTTGGAAGGAAGGGTATGCAGAGGGGAGGGGTGGGGCAGGTGAGTGTATTCTCCTACAGGTAGTGAAAGTTATCTGGAGACATATGGGACATTTATTTAATGTTTTCTTTAGGTATAAAGCTGCCTGGTTCGTGGCTGATTCTGTGTTGAAGGGGTTAATATGCAGTGACGGCAAAGTTAACAAGGGACATGCCATAAATGACTCCAGCTGTGCATAATTAACTGTAATACTGCAGAGTAAATGACTTTTATTGGCAACCATGTCATAACTTCATTAAAAGTCGTATTTACAGCCCTCTCATATGAAATGAGTCCTCCTGTATTCCGGAATTTAATGAGCATTCATTTTCACCTTGTTCAATTATCTTCCATCCCCCTCCCCTTCCCCCCAAACTTTCTCCGTCTCCCCAGTGTGGGAAGAGTGAAGCCAACGTGCAGCAGGAACGCAATTAGCACCTGGCAGAGCGCCCTCTTCTAGGGAGCGTTTCCCAAACCACAACCAAACTGTTTCTCCTTGTTTTCAACTATAAACAGGCAACTTTCTCACACAGAAACATTAAGTGACAATCATAAAAACGACAAACTGATTTGATGGAAAGCTTTGAAAGGTTAGGGATCTTAGAAAAGGTCATCTATAAACCAATCTATAACACAGTCCAAATCTGTAAAGTGTTATATAAACGCACAGTGAATGATGACCACAGAGGAGAGGACAGAAAATGAAACTGAGGATAGATTTTTTAATCAAACCATTTCCATTGTGATCCCTGTTATCTGAGATCACATATCTCAAAATTTTTTTTCCTCCTTGAGTGGTGTATCTAATTAAATCTCTCTTCCTCTCCTCGGTTCTACTTTTCTTCCCCTGCCTCCCTTCTTTTTTTATCTTTTTCACTCAAGTCCCTAAAGAAAGATCTTGCCTGACCTGTCAAGGAATGCAGGAACTCAGCCTCAAGATCTCCAGCTCAGCTGCTGTTCAATGTCGGATGTTTCCTTAGAGCTGTTGGACCTACAGAACAACTGGGAGTGTGGAAGTACAATATCATGAGTGGCTTTCTTTGTCAAAGCTCCAGTTGGTGTTATATGGTTCAAAGGGAAACTACAATGTCCATATGTGAAACTTCCCTTTGTAAAATTAATAAAGGCAGTAAGGTTGGGACTGTGGTAGAGGCTTGAATCTTGAAAGGTAAAGGCTTAGTTAAAAAAAAAAAAAAAATATATATATATATATACACACACACACACACAAATAAAACCATCCATTGTTCCCTAACCCACTTCCCTATAATTGCTCACTACTCAGGAGTCACATAGCTGATGGACATAAAGATTCTTAGCTTTTTTCATTGCTCCCATAGATAACATCACCCTGTGAAAGCTAAGGCTGCTCTTTGAGAGACATTGTTCAGATCCTGCATTCCTGTGGACCAACTG